AATTTCCTATGGATCCAATTTATTCAAGTTCACCATCCAGTGTCGACAAACCTTTTGCAAAAGATGAAAAAGATAAAGGCACCAATTTAAGATATTATCGAACCGGAGAGGCAACTCTCCTTTTGGTAAAAGTATTAACGGAAGCCATATCGAGGCCATCCAACCGCCCTCTCTTACAGGAGTGGATAGATTTGATCGAAGTCTCATTGCCATATTTTCGACAATCCTTCAATACAATTTTGACACCATTGATTCAATGCATCTGTGATCAATTGAGTCGATGGAAATCAGAAGCGAATTATCATTACATTATGATGGCTAATCACAATGAATCAAATGTATCGAATTCCAAATCGAATGTTGTGGATCCGGCAATGTCTGATTGGGATATTGTCACATTGTTAAATGGTTTTGAAGAGATCGTGAAAGATTGTCTGAATAAGCATTCCAACGATGACGCTGATGCCATTCAATATGGGATTTCAAAAGGTTACGATACGACGCTTGGACTTCCAGCACTGACAGGTTATGTCACCGGTGTGTTTTCAATGGATACAGGCGTCTACGAAACTTCAGCGCCCGAACAAAAAGTTTGTCATCCATTTTAAATTAGTTGATCCATTCAGTATTTGTAGATCTCTAATTCATTTTATTTTACTCTATTTTTTTTTTTATTTCAGCCTCGTGATTATATGATGTACACAGTTTTTCCAAATATAGTTGCTATTGTATTAGATATTTGGACCATATTTAAAAACGTATTTTCTCCAAATAATGATCAAAGAATTGGTGTGGACCCGTTCGTCATATCGCTTGAGCATACTGGAAAAAGGATAAAAGAGCGGATCAAGATTTTATTGGAAGAGCTATTTAAGAGAGCACACGCTGAACTCATTGAAGCATTTGTGGAACTTTGGTACATAGAAAATCCAGATATCACCGCAATAGTTTCTGAGGTAGTTGATGTTGGATTTTTGTCTCTGGAACCATCCAAGTTATTTCTGTTGTTTATTTATGTCTTTTATTGGAAATTTAGGTAGTCCTAAAAGATGTCGATAGCACTGTCATAGAGGTGCTGAAATCCATACCTGGTTCTTCTCCACAAAAGGTCATCAACACTCTTCTAATAAGCGCACGTAATCGATCTGCAAGCTCACAATCACAAAAAAATAAAAAATCCGTGGTGAAATCCAACAAGCTGTAAGCATTTTTAATTGATCAACCACTATTTGCTATGTCTTCTGACTTCAAACTATTTTTAAAGGACGGATGTTTTAATCCTACGATTCTTGGAGGTGTATGCCGACTCTCTAGACAAAATAGATCCCTTGATTGAAGTATGGCCACAATGCATGTCATATATAAAGGATTTCGCGCATGCGTCAGTTTACAAGAATTTATTCCCATCCATTTTAAGGTTTGCCGTTTTAAATGTGTGTTAGAAACAATATTTTCATATCGACAATTTTAACATATCCGTAAATCCTTGAATAGGTTCATGCATGGATTAGCCGATAGGCTGTGCTTGACTTCATATTTCGAAGATAAGAAAGTGCGGAAAGAAATGCAGGTATCTTTATACCAACCAAATAGGTCTTTTTCTTTTGTTGCTGTCACAATTTTGATTATTTATTTGGGCTTTTCTTTAGGACGCTTATCAACGCGTTTTGGACTATTGTATTCTAATCTCTGGGCGTTCATATGATCAAGGATTATGGCTTCGAAGGACACTTCCCCAAGATGGAGATGATGATAAAGTCAGCGTTAATGGTAGGGTAATTTCTTTATATATATATATATATATTTAACTAGGTATTAGGTGTTTTGGTTTAATATTATTTCTATTTTAGAAACAGATGAAAAGGAAGCAGAATCAGGACGATTGATTAGTAACATGCCTGAAGAAAAAAAGATGGCATGGAAATCGAAGGAATCTCTCTTGATCGAGCAGGTATGTAAATTGAATGAGTGGCGCTTTCAGTTTTCTGGTTATATCCATGTTGATTAGCATTTTATCTTAATATATCATTCATCGAATTTCAGATTAACATATACCTTGCCGAAGTTGTAATACCAGACATAAGGCGAATACTTGTGGATCAAGACCGGATTATTGCCATCGTAACGAATCTTATGTATTATATCGTTGCGCCAGCGTTAAAAAATCGTCCAAAGTAATTATGTGAATAATCTATGAATATCGATTGAACGATTTGATTTGAACGCAAGTTTGTCATTCTGATTTAATATTTTAGTTCACGCGCGAATTCTGTAATACTCAACCTTCTTCACGAGATTTCCAAAATACCTTTCGTATACCGGGTATGGCGCAAGGAAGCATGGGATGTCTTTACCGATAATCGATTCTTTAACATGAATCCCTCGGCTGCAAAAAAATGGTATGACATAATGCAAACAATCATGACTTCGGAAAAAGAGAGGTTTGGAGAAGTGTTGAGTATGTTTTCATAATTTCTAATATTTATGCGCTGGAATTGTCCGTGATATTCTAACATTTATTATTCATGTTAATTGTTAAAGCTCGTATAACTACCACAACTGCAAACGCTTTGTTTGTTAATAAAGAACAAGAATCCCTGAACCGTTCCCTGAATCTCCGGAGACTTTCTTTTATAATATTTTGCGGCAAATTGGATCAGTATCTAAAACAATTGCCTAGCGTAGCCGAAAAATTGGTCGAATTATTCAAGCTAGGTTTTACCGAATCAGTGCATGCTGAGGTGAGGAACATTGATCGAAAAACAGTTGAGGTTTTCGATGGCTGACTTACAACGAACATCTTTACAGATATACCTGTGCCTGCGAGTACTGATGTGTCGTGTTTCCAATCAACATCTAACAAATTTTTGGCCTGGTATTCTCACCGAGTTGGTAAGAAGTCTTACTGATCTACATGATCCTAATATATTGTCCATTATTTTTTATTAATTTTTTATTGGTTGGTTATTTAATTTAACCATTAGCTTTGTCTATACGGATCCATTCTCCAAAAGGAAAACAACAAAAATTTGGCTGGACCGGAAGTTGCCAACTCATTCTTATCAGCGTGCAAATTCTTGGATTTATTATTCGTATTGCAGACTCATGATTTTCAGGT